TGTCAGCCATGTACGAAATGCCTAAGTGCACACAAGCACGGTGAGACTGTCCTTGTGCACTTAGGCATTTGGGCAAAAATGAATAAGAGGTTATCAGAAGGAGGACTGCCAGAAACTCTGATCCAGAACTTACCGGGAGCATACTTGGAGGGCTCAAGGAGTGCTACTCTCCAAGCCCACCATGGGGTCAGACTCATCTTGTGACAACTAGGTCCAACAGGCTGTTGCTTGGAGCAGCCCAGCAACCCGCATATCTACATACTGTACTACAGCCCAGTTGGTCAAACACTTCTTGCAAGAACCTATCTAATTGCTTTTGAAGAAGTCCACTTTTGTGTCAGCAATATTTCTAATGCTTGCTGGGGAATTATTGAACAGCCATGGACCTCTGATGTTCATATAGTGCTATCTGATAGTGCATATGGCATCTCTACTCCTCACTGGTTCTATTCTGCATTTCCTTCTTTATCTTTTGCTACAGTAAGTTGTTATTTTACTGTGCAAATTTGGGATCTGTCTTTCCAGTATCTTCCAATTACTGTATATAATATTTGATATCTCTCTTATCTCCGTTCCAGAGAGTACATTTAGAGAGCTTCGAGATGGTCCAAATAATTTTGGTGCTTTATTGTTACCTTGTGGTTACCTTGCGATGATTTCGGGGCTCAATGTCCCTGCAGCCCAGTCCACGACCAGGCCTCCTGGAGTTTAAGCATTCCATATACCGGTATGTTTTTCATCTTCCTTCTATTTCAAAACTCTCTCCTGCTCTGAAAAGGGAAGCGAGTACTAAGCAGTAATCAAGACAGGACAGTAACAGTGATTTAAATAGTATTAACATCGCGATGTGGTCCCTGAATTTAGACATTCTCATAATCCATCCTATCATTTTCCTGGCTGATGCTATATTTACTTGGTTGTGTTCACTAAATATCAGGTTGTTAGACATCATAATTCCCAGATCTTTTGCATGTTGATTTCGTTCTATGAGTAAATCTAATTGTGTCTTGTGCCCTGTATTTTGTTAAGTTCTTCGTTTCCATCATACCTAATTACCTTGGAACTTATCACTTTTAAAGACTAGGCTGAATCTAAAGCTTGTGCCAGCATAGCCTGTCAACATGCAAGACATGCCAAGTAAAATGCTGCTACCATCTCCCGAAGGAGAGGTGTGATCAACTTGGGCAAAGCTTCCAAAGCTGGCTCTGCAGACAAGGTGGCCACACCATGAACTGATGTTAACAAATCCAGGCCTGCATTGAGCTTGTTCACAAACGGCTCCACAATTGCCCAAACACACATGATGTCTGCCAAGTGGATATGAGTCTCTGTGGTCTTACACAGTAAGAGCTTCAGAAAGCCTGTGCTCTCTGTGCACACAGAGCTACCACTTGTCCAGGTCCTAGGGTAGCACCAAAGAAAACAAGCAAACCTCAAATAGTGCATAAAGGGCACCACCTAAGTACATCTGAAAGATCAAACTTGCTTTCCACCACTGAAACATTCAGACTCAATGGAACCCATGCCAAGCCCCAAGGAAAAGAGGGCTGTCAGCCAGCCAGGATGAAACAGGAACCTCATATCAAAGATAATTGGCAGCCACAGAACCATACTCAAATGAGGTTGGGTCAATCAAGGAATGAGGTACAAATTCTGCAGGAGTTACCAAAAGAGATTCGCCAATGCAACAGAAGATGCAATACAGAACGGCAGAAACCTCAGGATATAGGATGGATCCATGGAATCAGATGACACTTGGAAATGAATCTTGGGGAGGGGGAGGAACCAAATACTTGAGCTCATACATTGAGGGGTAGGAAAAGTCCCCCATGGAACAATATGCCCTCATCAGACAGAATGAAAGTACCGGATGGGCAAAAGGGCACACATGGACCCTCCTTGGGTTCCCCTTTTCCTCTCCCACAGCCACAGAAGCCAGCAATGATGACCCTGGGGTCATCCCCCAAGAGTGTGGCTAACCACACCAGCAGGAGAAGGAAGAGGAAGGACAACCATGGCCTAGTGGAATATACCAGCCCCTGAAGATGTGGGAAAAACGACACAGCAAAGCGGCAGCTGCCTGACACACACCTCGTGTCACGAGGCACATTCAGATACTGTGGAGACCAAACGCACACATGTTGCAAGCCTCATGGTCAAAGGTGTCACTGACCTAACAGGCAGTATGGCAGAGGCAGAAAAAACGACCATTGGCTTCTAGCAAGACTGACGAGCACCCCTCAGACTCACATGCAATGAGTGCAGATGCAATGGATTAAATTATAAGGAGCCACATTGCACCTGTTACATGTGACACTCCTGTGGTGTGCACCAAAAAAAAAATTGTTCTGAAAAAAATATTGAAAATGTAATAGTTCACTTCTCTTGTGACAGAACTTAATGTTTTGCATTCTTATTCTTTTCTCAAAGTTGCTAGTCATATGTTGACACTTAGTGGTTATGGGCAGGCTGGTATGGATGAGTGTGAGAAGAGGTAGAGTCCTGTATATGTTAAGTGCAGAAGCGGTGGCTGAGGTTTGAGTGAGGCTCTTGGCAGGTGTATGCGTGGATGCGGGTATAGACTTGTTGGGTGTGGGTGGGTTGGACTCAAGGTTGCTGTTACTTTGCTTATGTTTGGATTTAGGCTTCAGACCAGTTATGTTATTTTAGGTTATGGTGTTGATGGTGGAGTGGTATGGATAGCTGAATAAGCAGCGAAAACTGTATACAACAATACGATGTGACCCCTAACTGGGTGATAAAACTATCATCTTAAAAAAATGACTTTCTGGAATACTTTTTAAGCTACAGTGCTTAATATCACAGAAAACTTAGTTTCTAGTCATACATAAGTTGCACTTTTAAGGGGCCGGGAACTTAAGCATTTTCATCAAAAATCAAAATATTTTGAAAATGTTAACAAATTCTCACAGCATTTGGCATCAGTCGTGGCACATTCATGCCAATACGTTAATAAATTTATTTTCTACTAATTTTTATACAGTACTAATAAATCCGGGCGTGGCGTGCCACACCCTGTATAGGGGTTAATGAGTGCCCTCGGTCATTGCGCTCTCGCATGATTGATAACAATCGGATTTACTGCTAACAAATTGAAAAAATATGCACATATAATAGTACATTTATGGATTGGCAACTCGTGTGTATGTACTTACCTAGGTGTACTTGCGGGGCTTGAGCTTTGGCTCTTTAGCAACAGTCAATCAACTGATGTACAGGTTCCTGAGCCTACTGGGCTCTATCATATCTTAAGCGGGACTTCTTAGAAGCGCCAGCGGGACAACTGGAGGAAGACCTAGGAGTGGTGCGAGGACAAGTCGTGGGAGAGTGTGGTTTATGGGGCCCATCAGGCAAGGTGGCAGGGTGCTTGGAAGTCGGGACAACGGAGGATTGCTTCCTCTTAGTACCGGGGTAGAGATTTGCGGCAAGGCAGCCTGGGGGAGAGACACAGGGAAGGTGTGCCAAAGAGTTCTGAAGGGTGTTGTCCAGCATCATTTCAAACGTATTGGAGATAGCAGAGGCAGCTATGGTAGGTTGGACGTCAACTACAGGAGAAGCGGAGGAAGGGTGTGTCGGGACAGCCTCAGGAACGGGGAGGACGGATTGTGAAAAGAGTTTAGGGAGGAGTCGGACCAGCGCCTTCTTGATGGCATCCGCAATGCGAGTGACACTAATGTCAACAAGATCGGGATTCAGTTGTACAGTGGGTGGGAGAGAAGAGGTTAGAGGACCATCAGTAACAAACAGGTTAGGCACAGGCAAAGGCGGCGGCGGCCGAAAGGGAACCAGTAGGTGATGAAGAACAGGGGGCAGGATGAAGCAAAGTGTGACTGGAAGGCAGGGTGACAGCGGGAAGAACCTTAGTGAGCGCTGCTACGTAGGAAGGACATTGCCTGAATGTAATGGCATGATCACCACCACAATTGGGGCAGCAGAGCACATCGGACACAGTTACGAGTGTAATGGGAACCAGAACATTTGACGTCGTTGGTGCATCCTTGAGAGTATGGTGAAAACCCTTACAAAGAAAGCACCGAGTGGGACAGGGGATGTACACCTCCAATTTATGGAGGAAGCCATTAATCCATACTCGATCAAGGGGAAAGGAGTTAAGAAAAGTAGGACAGTGCTGGTATCACACAGTTCACCATTAGTCATACACATAAATTTCCCGACACCGTAGATCAGAATGTCACCATCCTGCAGTTGTAACTTGATGTCGTCTGCACTAATGTCAACATCATGCCGGACCACATATCGTACCAAACGGTCACCCAGAGGTTTATAACAACGAACTTTGTAACCACAGATGTCAGTAACGTTCAAAAGCTCCAGATCCTCAGAGTGATCGTGGTCCACTACAATCAAGTTCCTGTGTTTATTCGGTCTGATATCGTGCACTTTGATCTTAAAAAACTTGGGAATGGCATGATAGAGACTTTGTGCCCTGCTATTTCCAAAAACACTCCGATCAACGGGAGTATCGACATCAAAGGCAACGATGAACGTTTGTAGGCCATGAGAACTTGTCCTACAATGAGTGAGTGGAGGATGTGGAAACGGAGGCTGCAAAGGGTCACAGGGTACCTCAGGACACTGGCGATGTTTCGCCTCCAATCTATTAACCTTACTGTACTGTCCAAGTACAGTACAGTACAGTACAGTACAGTACAGTACAGTACAGTACTGTACTGATTTACTGTCCAAGAAGACATCCTCTGGATCCCCCCTCCAAGACCGGGAGAACGACGTGACCAGAATGTGTGCCAAGTAACAACAGGTCCTGAAAACCCTCAAAGGGATCGGGAATGTCTATGGGAGACGCTGCATGCACCACCATCCGTCGCCATGGTCAGCCAGCAAGTTCCCACATTAATTTACTTACAATATTCATGTCACTCATTTTAATTAGTAGAAATAATGTTTTCTTTTCCAGATGTTTCATACACATCTCGTAGTTGGGGGGTGAAAAGTCTGAATTATATTGTACAAGTTTATTTCCAATAATCTGAATGTTTCTTGTACACTATAGATCAGTTGTCTACTCCAACTTATTCAATATCTCAGATGGTAAGTTACTTTTGAGCCCATAAGACCAGCAGTAGAAGCTTTTGGCTCAGTCATCATTCTAAACATCTTATACAGTATATTCAATGACAGGTGAAACTGATATACTATTTGGTACGGATCAGTAACTGATAGTTTTGAAAGGGAATAGACTGATCCTCAAAAAATATATAATGATGTAATATATATACCAAGTGATTTCACAAAATTAAAACCCAACAAAAAATCCCCTAATGCTGGTCCTGTGCCCATAGACTCATTGCAGTTAAGCTAGAATGCAGCACACACATAAAATATCAGCTCTTACAACTTCTGTGTGAAGGACAAAATTTTGTAACTGAAATTGGTGTGTTTATTTGCCTTTCTACACATTTAAATATGCTATATCTTGAGATTTTTATATGGCTAAATTTAAATATATTAACTCAAATGATGACTGAGAGGCCTTTAGAAACAAAAGAAACTTGCTTATACAGTATTGTAAAAAAACTCTTACTCTCCTTAGGAGTACCTCAGGGTTAGGTAAACAATATTATACAATAATCCAGTTGTGAAAATGGATCATATCTAGAAGTTTTTACAAGACAGAATTCAATCATACAATGGAAGATTCACATGTAAGAGAGATAATTGTATTGATCATAAGAGAGATTTATGTCTCTTGTCCTTACATGTGAATTAATAATTTCACTTTGCAGTACATATGTATATCTCAACATGTTCTTACATTGACAGATCTCTTTACTAAGTACTGTAATATACAAGATACAATCAAAAATATATTCTTTGGAATTAAAAATGCAAGTAACATCTGTAGTCAGAATTACTGCATGCTGCAATCTAAAAATGTCTTTGACAAAATTGTTATTGCAAGTAAATAAAAGCAAGAATATGAATGCCTTTCTTAGAATACCATGGATCAGGTACAATTCTGAAAGTTTATCTCAAAGTAATAAAAGAGCTTCATGCATAGTGTACTGAAGCTCAAAATGTCTGTAAAAAAAGAACAAAGTAGAAAATAAATAGGAGTGAAATCTTAAAATTCGCCACCTAAGGAAATAAAATTATAAATTTTGTTTTTAGTTAAAATGAAAATACAGTAGTGAAATGCATTAGCCAAATCCCTATTATACACACTCCCACAGCCTGGACATTATAAAGGACAAAGAGACACCAAAAGGGCGATTTAAGAGTTCATTCCCAGCAATCTTGCCAATAGGTTCTAGAATATCAATGAGTAACAGTTTCAATACACATTTAAAACAATTTGAAGAAATTATTTTCCTCAGGATATAAGCAGGGCTAACATGAATATAATGTATTTCTATCTATCATTTACCAAGTTATCAGAAAAGGTTTGTGCTAAGTATGACTGACAAGGCAGAATAAATTACAGTATGGAAACTCCATAAACAAATTATCAGTCTACATTGCAGCTCTCAATTAGAATAATACCTTCTACCGCTCAATTACTGCACACACAAAACAACACTCACAGACATATGATATACTGCATATGAAAAAGCTATTTTTTCTTCCACACATGATTCTGTATATATTTTGTAAAACTTTGCTAAAAATATAAGTTTCATTTAGTTTCATATTTGATGTGACAAATAACTACCATTTAATTATATTTTCACAGTCATGATGCACATTATAACACATTATAATGAACACTATTACATGAGAATGCAAAAGCACAACATGGAAAACCAAATGACAAATTTACTACAATTTTATTGTTGTTTGCCTACAAACAACCCTTGAGAGACTGATTTAAAGCCTGAACGTATGCTTCGTGTAATTGTCTAACAAAATCGTCTTTCTTTAGGAGAAGGGTAAATGCCTGAACCAACTGTTCCTGTGTCAAGGGGGTCACTTGCGAAGAACTGCATATTATTCCGTCATGAAGGGATTCTTGAGATCCATTAAGTGGCCTCATATCCATAGTTATTGTGGTGCCTGGAGTCAAGAGGCCAGGGAAGGTGCGTGAACCAGTAGTATCAACTGGAGGGGTACCACTCAGGGTAGGTTCCGAGGTTCGTGAACTTGTAAACACCTGAGGTGAAAGTAATGATGGCTCAGAGTGAGGTATTTGCTGAGAATATGACTCATGATGTTTTTGGTGCTGACTCAGATGAGGTATTTCCTCTTCTTTAACTTGATTTGACATTCTTAAATTATCTTTGAATCGGCCCTCTAATTCTTGGAGAGATATAGGTGCTCCACCTGGAACACTTGATGATAATGATGATGGATGGTTCTGAGGTGCTGAACCAGGTATGGGAATAGGATTAGTAGTGCCTTGTTGATTTTGCACAGGTGCTCCTGCAGGAAGCTGCACAATGGCTTGACCACCTACAGCTGCTGCACCTTGAAATAATTTCTGCAACATAGGATTTGTGCCTGATGATGGATTGGCTGTAGAGACTGGGGGCCCTGAACCAGGAGAATGTAATCCAGTACCACCAAGGCCTGCCTGAGCTCCAGAAACTTTGGCAAAAAAATCAGCAACCGTGTTTTGCTCCCCAGCCTGAACTCTTAAAGGTGCTGGCTTAACAAGATCATTACTTGTACTTGTAGCTGTGTTCACAATGCTACGTGGTTCTTGCCGTTTACTTGCAAATTCTCCATGAGCACGGGAAAGCATGCTCATAATATCTCCACCAGGTGCACCAGCAACAGCAATAGCTGGATCAGCCATTATATTGGGAGCAGGCTGAAGCGCAGGTGGAGGCTCATTTTTCATTCGTTCCTGAATAGACACTGCTATACGCTGAACGTCGTCTGCTTCTGAAAACCATATCCCATATATGCCACCCTTAGCATTCCTAAAAAGGAGATATGGAGGCTTTACTTGTATATCACAGTCAGATGAGAGAGGTTCAATAAAATTAGATTTGTTTAGTCTGTTTATGATGGTAACCATATAATGAGGTGGAGCACACCGAGAGTAGACCATAAGAGTACCCTCCACTTCTGTCTTGGCCCATGATTCTCCATCCTGCTCATATGAGTACAGTGCCGTGCGGTTGGCACTGTCCATTATCTGTGCCACGTGAGGATCTATCCTGCGCACAGAATTCAGGCGGATTGTCTCTCGATTCTGGTCCATGCCTGTGGAAACAAGGGAAAACTCCATCAAATTACACGAGATAACAATGCATGCTGCACTGATAATTTACAGGCATTTCAGTTACTTTTTTGACAGCATATAATTAACAATGTTGAGTTCTCCCTAGATTTCAACAAGTATGGATTAGCATCAGAGTAAAATCACATCAAATTATACAAACTTTAATTTATATACAGTACTGTACTGTACTCCCATAACCATGACAAAAAATTTTTATTGTATACAGGAATAAAAGTTGTTGGTTGTGGTACAATAAATTGTGAATTTTTAAGCTATGTTTACATACATCAGAAATTCATCTAAGTTCAATCTCTTATGTGATTTGGATTGGGGTCATCCTCACGAGATTCAAATTATCGAGCTTAGAAAATACAGGCAACACACACAGTTAACAGTAGACTGGGTTAAGAGCCCAAATAGGGTCCAACAGAAGCAGGGAGACATTCTTCGTAAGCCAGGAAAGGCCAAGAAAATTAAGGATGGCCGCAGATGATCAGAGGAAACCACCGGGAGATCAAAAAAGAAAGGAAGAGCTGCACTGCATAAGGCCAGAAAACACAACTAGAAGAAAAGAACACAAACACTCCTATGGAGCCAACAGAAGTGGCATGGGTGCCAACCTAGATGATGGGCAGCCAAATTGGATGACCAAGACGAGTAGAACAGAATGCCCGGAATATACCCCACAAAAGAAAGGTGCACCACTGCCAAGGGCCTAAAGACCACAGCCCACAAATCTGAAGTAAGATAAACAGCTCAGACCACATAGTTTGAAGCACCCAGCACACAATCCTCCAAAAATGATACAGTAGTTAGTATTTATAGCAACTGTGAACAGAATATACAATATATAGAATGTTACACACAACACATTTTGTACTATTGATTTTGTGAAGAGCTTAAGAAAGACAGCAATAACCAAACCTAACCTAATATAGTGCATACTCAGTACATATGTGTAGTAAATTAGACCCCAAGACTGCATATACTGTAGTAAGCCTAAGATTGTTTATTTAGGCCTAGAACAAGATAGGTTATTGTAGTTTTTATTATTGCCTTCAGTATAGCAATAGTGCAAAATATGAACTTTTTCAGGTGCAACAGGTTGTTTTATGAACATTCTATCCATAGTTGCTATGGATACTATCATTTGTGGATGCTGGGATAATGCACAGCACCCAAAGTCCCAGCAACTTAACTGAACATTTCTACTTTAGTAAATTCTTTTTGGGTCTCACAAAGGTCATGAATAATTTCTTTAATATTTCACCATGAATGTGAAGCGATTCTAAAATTGGAAAGCGTAGCATATGCTACACTGTGCTCCCCAAAGATATAAAGCCAGTGTTCTCAATGTTTATAAAGTTGAACCCTTACCCACTGCTCTGCATGGAGCAATGTGAGTTCAGAGTTTGAAAGGATAACACAAGTACTGGTGAACAATGGTTATACTGTAGTAACCACGAGATAAACACCACTATAAGATGACACTTGGACCAGTGGTACAATCCTGAACCAAGAACAGAAACCACAAAACATCCACTAAAATTATATTACAAATCCACCAAACACAGTGAATACAGTATAAGAAAGAGGAAAGAATACTGTAATAAAAGAAATAATCCATAATCCGGAGGCAGGTGGTGGAAGTGGTCAGGAAAGGTAGGGAGTGATAGTGGTGTCAAGGGAGGCAGGTGGTGTCAGTGGTGAGCTCTGGTCTGAGTTATCAGATAATTCCCGTGGCAGTTTTACAGTTCCTGTAGCACAGTGGTAAGACGCTCACCTGACGTTTCATGAGCGCTTTGTCCTGGGTTCGTATCCTGGCCTGGGAGGATTTGTTGGGCGCAAATCCTAAACTGTAGCCTCTGTTTACTCAACAGTAAAATGGGTACCTGGTTGTTAAACAATTTGGCGGGTCGTATTCCAGGAAACATAGGAATAAGGACTTGCTCGAAATGCTATGCGTCCTAGTGGCTGTACAAGAATGTAAGAACTCTTGTACAGTATATATATAGAAAAAAAAATGGCAACACATGGCTGGTGCTGGCTGCTGCCTCGATGCTTCTCTCACTATCTGCTTTTCACCAAATTAGCTGAGAAAATGTTACCATTTCAGTTGTTTGTAACACATTGCTCTATTGTATGCCATGGTCAAAATTAAGAAATTAATAATAAATGGTGGTGTTAGTGGTGAGGGGATGTATTGGGGGTGAGGTGGAAAGGTGTCAGAGGAGGTTATCTTGAGATGATTTCAGGGCTTCAGCGTCCCCGCGGCCTGGTCCTCGACCAGGCCTTTTTTTTTGTTACAATCTCCCCCCCCCCCCAGAAGCTGCTCATAGCAGCTGTCTAACTCCCACATACCTATTTACTGCTAGGTAACAGGGACATCATGGTGAAAGAAACACTTTGCCCATTTGTCTCCGCCTCCACCTAGGATCGAACCCGGAACCTCAGGACTGCGAATCCAAAGCAATGTCCACCCAGCTGTCAGGTGCCCAGGAAGGGTGAGTACACACACCTCCACCAGGTCTGGCCTGAGTGATCAGCTGACTGCTGCACTACATGGCTGCCTCAATACTAGCCTCACTTGCTGCTTTTCACAAAATTAGTTGAGAAAATTTTACCATTTCAGTAGCTTGTAACACATTGCTCTATCACATTCCGTAGTCAAAATGAAGAATTCATAACAAATGGTGGTGTCAGTGGTGAGGGGGATGTATTGGAGGGTGGGGTGGAAAAGCAGCTAGCCTCTACCTGTCAACATTTGTACTCATTAATGTGTACTATACTTGTATGTACAGTGGTACCTCGCATAACGAATTTAATCCGTTCCAACGCCGCTGTCGTCATGTGAAACCGGCGTCATGCAAAACAATTTTCCCCACCCAAAACAATGTAAATACAAATAATCCGTTCCACCCCCTAAAACAACAATATGACATTATACACTGGTAATATTATACTGTACAAGTTAAATAAATGTTTGTTTGACTGTTTCCATGTGTATATTCACTTTACCTTATGAAGAGTCGTTGCTGGCTTGAGGGAGCCGATCGGGAGGGAGGGAGGAGAGGGCTTATGGGGAGGAGGGAGACACCACCTCTGGGTCAGGCGGGCTCGCTCTCTTTGGGAATTTAACCCCACTAGGACCGGGTTGTGGTTCAATATCACTAGCACGTCTCTTCCCACCCTGTCCACTGACCATATCGCGTGTCACTTGCTGTTGTCTTCGTTTGAGGATGTCCCTAAATCGAGACAGCACATTGTCATTAAACAGGTTCACGCACCGTGTTGTCACCGCCTTATCAGGGTGATGCTTTTCCGCAAATGCTGTCACCTTTTCGAACATGCCCAGCACGTCCCTGATCTCACTAGATAGGATAGCATCCTCGCAGACCTCCTCCTCCCCCGATGAGAGCTCCTGTACCTCCTGTTGCACCAGCTCTTTCTGCAGTTCCAGGAGTTCCTCGGTGGGCAGTTCATCACTGTGCTCCTCCACCAACTCCTGCACATCAGCAGCATCCACCTCCAGACCCAGTGTGTGTCCCAGAGCGACAATATCATCCACTAAAAGAGCCTCCGGGTCATCCACAGGTGCGGATGCAGATGCAGGTGCAGGACCGAAACCTTCGAAGTCTCGCTCAGGGACACCCTCAGGCCACAAGTTTCGCCATGCAGAGTGTAGGGTTCTCTGTGACACCCCTTCCCAGGCCTTATCTATCAAACGCAAGGCCCCCATGATATTGAACTGCTCCTTCCAGAATTGTCTGAGGGTCAGCTCTGTGGTGTCAATCACATGAACACATCTCTCCAACAAGGCCTTCATATAGAGCTTCTTAAAGTTAGCAATGACCTGCTGATCCATGGGTTGGAGGAGTGGCGTGGTGTTTGGAGGAAGAAACTTGATGGTGATAAACTGATTTTCAGGGAACAGATCATCTTGCAGTTGGCAAGGATGCGCAGGTGCATTATCGAGCACAAGCAAGGCCTTGAGTGGTAACTGCTTGTCGACGAGATAATTTCTCACTGTGGGGCCGAAAACGTCATTTACCCACTCACTAAAGAAGATCTGCGTGACCCAGGACCTCTTGTTCGACCTCCACATCACATTCAGCCGTGTCTTGTGACCCTTAAGCGCCTTGAACACTCGTGGATTTTCTGAGTGATAGACGAGCAGCGGCTTGACCTTGCAATCGCCACTTGCATTGGCGCAGAGCACGAGAGTAAGGCGATCCTTCATCGGTTTGTGGCCAGGCAATGATTGTTCCTCTTGCGTGATGTAGGTCCTCTTCGTCAGTTTTTTTCAAAAAAGGCCGGTCTCGTCACAATTGAAAACTTGTTGTGGCAGAAACTGCTCCTGATCAACAAATTTCTGGAACTCTGGCACAAAAGCCTCAGCAGCACCTTTATCAGAGCTGGCAGCCTCCCCATGTCGCACAACACTGTGTATACCACTCCTTTTCTTAAAGTTCTCAAACCAGCCACGGCTTGCCCTAAATACCTCCTCATCTTCAGACGATGCACCTGGTATCTTCCTGACAAGGTCCACATACAGCATCCTAGCCTTAGCGCAAACGATAGCTTCAGAGACACAATCGCCATGCAATTGTCGTTCATTCATCCACACCAGCAGTAGCCGTTCCACATCTTCCAGGAGTTTTGGACGTTTGCTGGTGAGCTTGCTAACTCCTTTGGCCATGTCAAGCGTCTTATATTTATCCTTGCCCTTCAGTATGGTGGATATTGTTGAGGGAGCCCTGCCATACTCCCTGGTAAGATCAACCACACGAATACCACGCTCGTGCTTTGCTATGATCTCTTTCTTCACTTCCACAGTGATTGCCTCTTTCTTCCCCTTGCAAACTCCTGCTTTCGCAGGCTGCTTCTTGGACGACATCGTGCGTTCAGAATTGTAGTCACAAAACCACAAAAAAAAAAAAAACACGAATATCAGAATTGTGTGTGGAGCGATACAGACGGATACTGGTCGTGTGAGACACCAATACAACACTGTAGACAGTGGCGGCGTGACCCCACCATGTGGTGTTGACGTTACACAAACGAGCGTTCGTCATATGGGACGATTTCTCGCCGATCGGGCCAGTCGTTACCCAAAATATTCGCCTTGTGGGGCGATCGTTATGCAAGGTACCACTGTACATTACTTAGTGTATTCCTTATTTATATTAATAAACTGTTTGTTTATTTTATTTAGTTGTGAGGGGAGGCAGGTAGTGATAGTGGTGTCAGGGAAGGCAGGTGGTGTCAATGGTGAAATTGTCATGAGAATCGTGAAAGTTGTTGCCAGGGTAGGCAGGTGGTGTTAGTAGTGAATGTTACTGAAGGCATGAAGTGTCAGGGAAGACAGGTGGTGTCAGTGGTGGTGGTGGATGGTGTCATTCATTGAATATAACATTTAATACATATATATGTGTCAGCAGTCTGGTGGTGGGGGATGGTGTCAGAAGTCTGGTGGTATCAAAGAAGTATGGTGATGTCAGTTGTGAGAGATGGTGTCAGTGGTGGTGGTGTCAGAGAAGTCTGGTGATAAGGGATGGTATCAGAAGTATGGTGGTGTCAGTAGGGAAGGGGTTACCGGAGGTGAGTGTGCGCATACGGTCTCTCGGTAGCAGTGAGCAGATGCCACAAGTCAATTTAGTGATGACAATTATCGCATTATCTACACTGAAATTAGCCTTTTTTATTAGCAAAATGTCATAATGAGGCAATAATAATGGTGAATATTGTGATATACAGTATTTAAAGTAGTAAGAATACATTTCCTTTTCACAGAATTGTTAGGACAATTGGGGTGTAACAACCCACAGCTGACATGGCACTGTGAGGCCTGGGAGGAGTGTGTTGTTCCTGGAGTCAAGGGGGGAGGAGAGTTCACAGCTGCCTCTCTACCTCTCTTAACGACCTATGTAATATAAACCATGTGCATTAATACAGTACTGTACTGTATAAAATGCATAAAACTTCAAAATAAACAATGTTTTACTAATTATATATGGTTATCTATGCTCTCAAATGGCTTTATAAAAGAGCTATGAATTCAGACATTATGGAATTTCTGCTCTCTGAGGAAGACGAGGTGCTTAATAAGCATACAGGATACAAGGGCTAGTAGAACACTAGAAAACGTTAAGAAATATTCAATTAAAGATGCAATTTTCAACTAGGCCAAAGAATGGAGTGTCAGGTGCAATTGTTCATAAGGCAAATGTGTCCTGGCATATGTATTAATGTGGATATAATTTTTTTTCAGGGGGGGGGGGGGGGCTGGGGCCAGACGGATGGAACAAATTCTGTACTGGAACGAATCAGCTTTGCCCCATAAATAGTTCATTCAAGTGAGGACATAGATATTATTTTATATATATATATATATATATATATATATATATATATATATATATATATATATATATATATATATATGTCGTACCTAATAGCCAGAACGCACTTCTCAGCCTACAATGCAAGGCCCGATTTGCCTAATAAGCCAAGTTTTTGTGAATTAATATATTTTTTCTAATTTTTTTCTTATGAAATGATAAAGCTACCCATTTCATTATGTATGAGGTCAATTTTTTTTATTGGAGTTAAAATTAACGTAGATATATGACCGAACCTAACCAACCCTACCTAACCTAACCTAACCTATCTTTATAGGTTAGGTTAGGTTAGGCTGCCGAAAAAGTTAGGTTAGGTTAGGTTAGGTAGGTTAGGTAGTCGAAAAACAATTAATTCATGAAAACTTGGCTTATTAGGCAAATCGGGCCTTGCATAGTAGGCCAAAAAGTGCATTCTGGCTACTAGGTACGACATATATATATATATATATATATATATATATATATATATATATATATATATATATATATATATATATATATATATATATATATATATATATATATATATACATACATACATACATACATACATACATACATACATACATACATACATACATACATACATACACACACACATACACACATACACACATACACACACACACACACACACACACACACACACACACACACACACACACACACACACACACACACACACACACACACACACACACACACACACACACTCACACTCACACTCACACTCAATTATAGACCTGTATCATTGACAAGTGTAATAGTGAAAGTATTGGAAAAACTAATCAAAACTAAATGGGTAGAACACCTGGAGAGAAATGATATAATATCAGACAGACAGTATGGTTTTCGATCAGGAAGATCCTGTGTATCGAATTTACTCAGTTTCTATGGTCGGGCCACAGAGATATTACAGGAAAGAGATGGCTGGGTTGACTGCATCTATCTGGACCTAAAAAAGGCTTTCGACAGAGTTCCACATAAGAGGTTGTTCTGGAAACTGGAAAATATTGGAGGGGTGACAGGTAAGCTTCTATCATGGATGAAAAATTTTCTGACTGATAGAAAAATGAGGGCAGTAATCAGAGGCAATGTATCGGAATGGAGAAATGTCACAAGTGGAGTACCACAGGGTTCAGTTCTTGCACCAGTGATGTTTATTGTGTACATAAATGATCTACCAGTTGGTATACAGAATTATATGAACATGTTTGCTGATGATGCTAAGATAATAGGAAGGATAAGAAATTTAGATGATTGTCATGCCCTTCAAGAAGACCTGGACAAAATAAGTATATGGAGCACCACCTGGCAAATGGAATTTAATGTTAATAAATGTCATGTTATGGAATGTGGAATAGGAGAACATAGACCCCATACAACCTATATATTATGTGAGAAATCTTTAAAGAATTCTGATAAAGAAAGAGATCTAGGGGTGGTTCTAGATAGAAAACTATCACCTGAGGACCACATAAAGAATATTGTGCAAGGAGCCTATGCGATGCTTTCTAACTTCAGAATTGCATTTAAATACATGGATGGCGATATACTAAAGAAATTGTTCATGACTTTTGTTAGGCCAAAGCTAGAATATGCAGTTGTTGTGTGGTGCCCATATCTTAAGAAGCACATCAACAAACTGGAAAAGGTGCAAAGACATGCTACGAAGTGGCTCCCAGAACTGAAGGGCAAGAGCTACGAGGAGAGGTTGGAAGCATTAAACATGCCAAAACTAGAAGACAGAAGAAAAAGAGGTGATATGATCACTACGTACAAAATAGTAACAGGAATTGATAAAATCGACAGGGAAGGATTCCTGAGACCTGGCACTTCAAGAACAAGAGGTCATAGATTTAAACTAGCTAAACACAGATGCCGAAGAAATATAAGAAAATTCACCTTCGCAAATAGAGTGGTAGACGGTTGGAACAAGTTAAGTGAGAAGGTGGTGGAGGCAAGACCGTCAGTAGTTTCAAAGCGTTATATGACAAAGAGTGCTGGGAAGACGGGACACCACGAGCGTAGCTCTCATCCTGTAACTACACTTAGGTAATTACACACACACACACACACATACACACGCACACACACACACACACACACACACACACACACACACACACACACACACACACACACACACACACAGTATTCATATACTGTATATATATTTATGTTTATTAAAATGCCAGAGAAATATTACTCAACCCTACCGAGTTGAATAATGTCTCCCATCACAAGTGCCCTCAGTATTTGTGATGGGTAATGTAAGGCAGCCACTGTAAGCTGTCAGGGGAAGTATAACCCTTCCATTGCTACTACCATTCCTTGATGTCTTTATGTAGGTTCAGACAGTGTGTGAATACCTCTCAGTGTTCAAAAGAAACTTTGATAAATATAATACAATACTTTCAATGGATTCCTGATCAACAGGGATGTGAGTTATACATCAGAATGCAAGCAGCTGCATCTAACAGCCTGGTTGACCAAACAACCAACCAGGAGGCTTGGTCAGAAACTAGACTGCAGGGCCATTGATCCTCGTACATATCATGTAATTATAATGGAATTTTATACAATGACAATGTCCGCATTCACCTGGTAACATTCATGAAGAAAACCACATTCACATAGTAACATAACCATGAAATGATAGCAAAATTTTCCGTGGGTCAAGGTAAACTCCATTACATCCACGGAGGGCTATTATATCCTTATTTGCATGATACATATAAAACCCACGCAATAATTGTTTAAATTGTCATGAATGTATTCCTGTATTCTGTATCTGTATTCCCTGTGAATCAACACATGATGATAATTGCTGTCTAAGGGTCAATAAATACGTACAAGCATTGTTTTTGGTAAAAAAAAAATTGGTGATACTGACCTGCCACCAAGTGTAATGGAATGTTGAATGGGTCACATATGGGTTGGTCCCAATTAATCTATTCAATCAGAAAAACAGCATTTCAATTTCTGCACTGTCAGCATGAGCAGGGGAAGTAGTGGAGACAGCAGTTCCTGAGAAATCTACCTAAAGAAACTGGATACAGTGGGGTGCTGCTGTATTTGGACAATGAAGGGAACAAAATTATAACTTACCAAATATGTGCAATATTTCCTGTATCATAGCAGAGGATGCCTAATGGATTTGGACAATTTTTACAATTTTTACGTTTGGTTAAATGCAGCACCATACAAGGCTGACATCAAATGTATTCATAACCTTAAAGTTAGGCAAGGGTTCAATTAATCACTAGATTCTTCAGTTACTATGACAAAAACACAGTTTTCTCCAATATAGTCTGCTTACAATTGTTGTGGAACAATAGCACTCGTTCCTATGATAATTGCAAATATAAAAAATCAAGAGTCATTAACAATGAATACAATCTGTATTTCAACTAGAGACAACTCTTGGTGTAGTCCACCAAGATGCTCTGATCAACAAAGTTGTCCTAGCCTCACCAAGCTGCCCTGGCCTCACCAAGCTACCCTAGCCTCACCAAGCTGCCCTGGCCTCACCAAGCTGCCCTGGCCTCACCAAGCTGCCCTGGCCTCACCAAGCTACCCTAGCCTCACCGAGCTGCCCTGGCCTCACCGAGCTACCCTAACCTCACCAAGCTGCCCTGGCCTCACCAAGCTGCCCCTGGCCTCACCAAGCTGCCCTGGCCTCACCAAGCTGCCCTGGCCTCACCAAGCTGCCCTGGCCTCACCGAGCTGCCCTGGCCTCACCGAGCTACCCTAGCCTCACCAAGCTGCCCTGGCCTCACCAAGCTACCCTAGCCTCACCAAGCTGCCCTGGCCTCACCAAGCTGCCCTGGCCTCACCGAGCTACCCTAACCTCACCAAGCTGCCCTGGCCTCACCAAGCTGCCCTGGCCTCACCAAGCTGCCCTGGCCTCACCAAGCTGCCCTGGCCTCACCAAGCTGCCCTGGCCTCACCAAGCTGCCCTGGCCTCACCAAGCTACCCTAACCTCACCAAGCTGCCCTGGCCTCACCAAGCTGCCCTGGTCCAACCCAGGTGGGACCCCCCTCCCCAAATGGGAGACCTTTCATCTCTTAAGCAAAACATATTTATATAACTTTTGTGAAGGTGTTGACTACTAGAGGCGAGAGAGGGGTGCCAGGGAGAGGGTGGTGGTGGCGAGGCCGTCGCCAGCTGGTGCTGTACAGGGCCACAACCCCCAACACAGGGGGCCCAAATAACCAGCCCAAGCCCATACCACCACAACAGGTATTGACGTGGACCATCTCGCCCTGCCCCGTGTCATCTCCCGCACCCCCGAGGAGAGTCATCCACGCAGCAGTGACTTACGGACACTCGGCGTCACTGTCAACGTCAATAAACAGCACATGCACCTACTGTTGTTATTTGCTAGTAAAGTTTGGCGCAGGAGCGGCGGCTTTTGGCACCATAACCACTTCTCGAGGCAGGCCCCTCTGGCTGGCCGGGTCGTGTTCTAGTCTCCCTCACCTCATAATCCTTCCACTCCTCATTACAATACTCATCACAGTTTTATATAATATTAGTATTTTAAGGTCTTTTTAATCTAAATTTATAAAGAAATTATTTTTCAACGAAAATGCGTGTTTAAAATATCGTCTACATAACCCATATTTTCGGTGTTTAAAGACAAAACAAACCAGTATCTGCTGAAAATTTTACGGAGTTATGAGGAGTTTGTTATGACTTATGAGCAGTTTGTTATGAATTATGAGGAGTTTGTTATAGTTATGCCTGGTGGCCTTGCCCCGCCCACCTATCACATTGTTTGCAAGAGCAATAAGTATACATACCATAATCACTTTTATTCAGATTTTTCAATTTTTTTTCCACAAAATTCATTTTGCTGTTTTAGAAACTAGTAAAAATGTAGGCAGGGATCTAACAGAGTCCTCCTAGATATATCTTAGGTAATCTGTGGAGCAGTAGTCAGCATAGTTGGTTCGCAAGTGAAAGGTCGCGGGTTCGGTTCCCAAACACACCGTCCAGACATTTGGCCACGTTTCCTAACACAATCTTTCTAATGACACTCAGCACTTGATGACACAACTTTCATTTTCTCTAATGCTAACCCACGTATTCTAAATGACACTGTGTATATTGAACTAAAAAAAAAATCCACCAATGGCTGATTGTTGAGTTAGTTTATAGTTCATTTATTATGCACCTCATACTCATCATGTGGGCGGTAGTGGAAAGGTTTACAAAGACCCATAATGGGCTCAGTTTAGTTTAGTTCATTTATTATACCCAATATTAATACTTAAGACATATAGCTTTACAAATGTAATCACCTCTATCAATTCATATTGTAGTTATTTGTTTATATAAAACCTTGCTACAATGTACCTTTTCAACTTACCTGTTATGATAGCTGCCCGAAACGCTATGCGCGTTAGTGGCTTTGCAAGAATGTACAAATACCAATCTTATGTAATCTCACCAACCCATTGTACCTTCTTGTGAATAACTTATTATTAGTAGTAGTATACACCCCATACCCATCTTATGGGCGGTAGTGGAAAGGGTTACAGAGGCACATAATGGGCTGAGGGACTGTATGCTGTACTTGCTGTATGCAATGTTAAATGGGATTCTTGTACTGTTATATGTTTATTTGTACTCACTGAATTTGTGCGCCCCTTGAGGGACTTGAAGTAGAGGGGGGTAGAAATAGCCTAAGCTACGCTATCCCTTTGAGATGTATTTATTGCTTATCTCAATAAACATACTTGAACTTGAACTGAGGGACTGAATCCCACAATTCATTTAGCTAAGCAAGTTACAGTCTTGATGAGCTAGTTATAAAATTCAATGCACATTGTCACATCAACAATGGATTAAAGACCGACTACAAGTAGTTTCTAAATTAAACAACTGACATATATGGAGAACTAGTGTCAATTTATATGTTTATCCTGCACATCGTCCCCATCCTGCGGGCAGCGGTGGATAGGTTACAGTCACTCAGTTACTACCTACAATTAGACAACTGGGAATATTTGGCTAAAATTTTAATAGCAGATAATTTTTAATTAAATATTTACACATCTCTTGAAGTTTTGTTATAAAATGCTGAGAAACTTACTCTTAACATTGACAAAAAATTTTACATATTTTTATAAGTCCTCAAATCAGATTATTCTACGTAATAACAATTCCCAAATATTGTGCAGATCAGAAGGTAAATTCCTTGGAGTTAACATTGACAACAAACTGAACTTCCCTTGCCATATACAAAATGCAACAAAAAACATAAATCAGTAGTCATTCTCTCCAAAATCGTATAATAGGTACCTCGTTTTGCCTTGGTAACACTTATATTCACTCATCTATGATATCTCACCTAGTGTATCTGTACCTGGGGATCTACAACCCAAAATTACCTTCGACCACTAATTACTCAACATAAATCAGCAATCAGAGCTATTACAAATTCCAGTACCAGACAGCACTCGGCTCCCTTCTGAACTCCTTGAATATGAAAGTATTGAGGCTTCACCGACAGATCACATGAACTCTAAAAATGGTCGGAAGACTGGCAAATGCCTTTTAATATCGAAAAACGCAACACCTTGTATGTGGTGCATAACAACGTACATCACAACTATCAAATCAGCACCATCGTCCTTCACCAAATTGATAAGGAAAATGATCTGGAGACGGAATCCAACAACTGGGTGCCGGTCGGCCGAGCGGACAGCACGCTGGACTTGTGATCCTGTGGTCCCGGGGTCGATCCCGGGCGCCGGCGAGAAACAATGGGCAGAGTTTCTTTTACCCTATGCCCCTGTTACCTAGCAGTAAAATAGGTACCTGGATGTTAGTCAGCTGTCACGGGCTGTTTCCTGGGGGTGGAGGCCTGGTCGAGGACCGGGCCGCGGGGACACTAAAAAGCCCCGAAATCATCTCAAGATAACCTCAAGATAACCTGTGTAACGTACGATTATGTTATGGTGTTGGGTAGATTAGATACACAGTGTTTAGTGAGTTTCATATTTATTTGGTAGTCCTGGATACAGCAGTGTCGTAGACGTTGAGATGAAACTTGGAGCAGAGCAGAGAGCTGAGTGAGGCCGGAGTCGTGAAGCTCTATGTGGGAGAGCGTTGTAGCTCGATGCGGTCCTAGTTTGCTGTCTGTTCTGTGTCGAAGCTGTAGCGTCTTGAAGACGATTAGAACTGCCTACGCCTACATTCTTGACTGGAAATTGTACTGTTGTCTATTCTCATATCGCTTCCTTATATTTGGTGACTACCCTTCACCAAATCTCTACTAGAATAGGAGGATGTGAGAACTGTTACCTGTAACTAGGGATGGAATTATAGCCTGTGTAGTTAGTGCTAATTAGTTATGCCATTAAGATAATGAGATAATGGAGCGAGTATAAGGATTACTCGCTACACCTGAATTTACCCGAGGTCACTAATACTAGTGGCCTCGGCGAGGACAGGAAGCTGGCGGCTTGTCAAAAGTCCCCCATTTGCCCTGATGATCTTTTCTAGCTATATTTAAAACTCAGCAGAGTTTTGGCGTTTATGGCTTCGGTGGGAAGGCGGTTTATATTCTCAAGGGGCTACTCAATTTAGAGACGGGACAGAAAAATTAGGAAAGGCGGTGGCGTTGCTGTGCTGGTGAAAGAACACCTAAAGGTGAACGAAATAGTGACTGCCAATAAACAAGAAGTTGACATAATAGCACTAGAGATCTGCCATGAGGATGATAAACTAATGATCATAAATGCATATAGTCCACTGCCAAGCAGCACATGGTCAAAGGAGGAGCTAGATAGTAAATGAGAAGGTCTTATAACAATAATGAGAGAGATTATAGCAAGAGCGGATAACGATAGATCACGACTGTTGATAGTCGGCGACTTCAACTTGAAATCCATAGACTGGGAAGCATATGAAGCTAAAACAGAAGATTTTTGGACCTGTAAATTTGTAGACCTCATCCTGGAAACATTCTTGCATCAACATGTTAAACAAGCTACGAGGATGAGGGAAGGGGACGTTCCCTCCATGCTAGATTTGATATTTACCAAGAAGGAGGAAGAAATATTTGACATTCAGTACTTTCCTCCCTTGGGTAAAAGTGACCATGTCTTTTTGGGAATAAAGTACGCAATGCATTATAATCTGGAAGAAAATAATAGGTTGATGCAATTGAAAAACCTGACTTTAGGAGAGGACATTATAGCAACCTTAGAAAATTTTTTAGTGAGTGTTACGACCCTGGGTTCTCCAGTGGAAACCAGAGGTCAAAATTGAGCTATTAAACTTCCTGGTAGCACAGTTGGGCATCTAGAATGTCAATTGTTTGTATCTTCCCTGCCAGACGTAAGACTATTATTGTTTCTCAAAGAGCATTTAAAGACTGAGCTGGGGGTTGATTATTAAATAATAACATAGGCACCAACTTTGCTTACTAATACTTTCTAATCATTCATAAAGTAACAATACGTTGCATAGGGGAAGATCTTTAATGTGCTTAGCTGCACGATCAATTAGGCTCCTCCCGGCACCACAACATGAGGGAGGCAGCTGGTGGCTAGCTCGGTCTTCTCTTGGCTGGTGGCGTGAGGTTAAGACCTACTCTGTGGCTGTATCCCTACTCTCCTTCCTTCTCCTCTTACTTATTTCCCTTACCTGAAGTTCCTGTACCCTTAAGTTAAGTATTATATGGTGTAAGTGTGCCTACTCTGGTAGTAACGATTGGGGAGACCTGGGGATAGTATTTTGCCAGTGTTTGGGTACCCCTAAGTGTTGTGTTTTGTATTAGGGTCCCACGTGGTTTCACTACCCTAAGCTGCATCCAGCTTCAGTGCTTATCCAGTAGTACTTTACCCTAGCTTGTTATTAGTGTAAACCTTGTATCCTGCCTACGTGGACCAAGGCTTTTAACGTAAGATAGTGTGGTAAAGTTATTATTATTATTGTTATTGGTGTGAGTGTATATGGGGGGTTGTTAACGGGTTAATAAATAAGTACATGAATTACAGAGTATCTCTTCTTCCAAGGTGGGAGCGCAGTGATCAACCCTTAGACGAACATATTTGGTCTTGTAGCAAGTTATTACTACTGTGGATAGTTTATTTTGGGGGCCGGGCCTTTTAGCTCTCCCATATTTGATACTCCTGTCTTCTAACTACCTATACCCCTTAATAGTACCAGTACCCCATAGAAGCCCCACTCATATCATTTGTAACAAGTGGTTGGCCAGTCCGGGAGGAACATTATAAGTGTAAAAAATTAGATTCTTGAGTGCCAAAATTAAAATTTTTTATTTCCGCAGAACGGTTGTGTGCTAGCCTAGGGTCCAGCTCATCTAGCAAAGGACATTCTTGCACTGACTGGACACCCAGCTGGATCCCTTCACGATTAAGGTTAGTGTGGCCTTGTGTTAGGGGCCGTGCAAATTTTTGTTTTTTTTTCCAATTTTTATTTTTTAATTT